CCAGCCCTGGAGTCAAGAGGACCTGAGTTCAAATACGGCCTCAGACACATAATACTTACTGTGTGACCCTGGGCAAGTCACTTCACCCTGTTGCCTAGCAAAAAAAGAAAAAGAGAATGAAGGACCAATAACACCATAGAGACCTCAGAGATTATCTGGTTTAACCCCCTCCTTTGACAGATCAGGAAACTGAGGTCCAGGGAGGAAAAGGTGATTTGTCCAAGTTCCTAATGACAGGAAGAGTATAGATGAGATTTCAGCTGAGGTCTTCTGACTCCAAATCCATTATTCTTAATTAAAGGTTTGTTGACTGACTGCTAGATATTTCCACTGTACCTTTTGAAAGGGGTTCGTGGGTTGCAGGGAGCTGCCTTCCAGTGGCTTCCTGGGTAAGTTTAGTGGGTTGAGTTCCCATTTCTGACTAAGGACCTCTTTCCTGAAGGCTGCTACACCAGGTATCAATCTGAGGTCAGAGTATTGGCTGATGGCAGATAGGATTTGGTAGAAGGGGCTGTGTGTACTGTAGGTCCAACCAGCTCAGCCTAGCACAGTTCAGTACCTGTGACTTTCTAGATATTGGGGAAGGAGAGGTAGCAGCTTTCAGGAGGTACAGGGACAATGTCCCCTAAGTTTAGACCAGCCTATACTCTGTACTGGGCAGCTATGTGGCATGGTGGATAGAGGGCCAGGCCTGTCATCAGGAAGAATTATCTTCCTAAGTTGAAATCCAGCCTCAGACATTTAATAACTGTGTGACCCTGCACAAGTGACTTAACCCTGTTGGTCTCGGTTTCCTCATCTATAAAATGAGCTGGAGAAGGAAATGGCAAACCACTCCAGTATCTTTGCTAAGAAAACCCCAAATGGGGTCACAAAAAGTCAGACAAAATGATTGAACAACAGTAACTCTCTACCCCTTAGGCAAGTGGAACTTTTTCTTTATACTTTATGGGGTCCCTCAGTCTGTGAACCAATCTTCTAGGCTAGGCTAGCCCAGGCCAGTCAGCTTAGCATACTAGGTAGAATACTCCAGACTTGGCGTCAAGAAGACCTGATTTCAAATCATGCCTTAGATAATAGCTTTATGAGCCCTGAGCAAGTCACTTAATTTTTCTGGGCCTCGGTTTCCTCATCTGTAAATTGAAGTGGTTAGACCCAGACTTCTGAAGTTCCTTCTAGCTCTCAATCTACGATCCTATGCTTTCTTCTTAGGGCCTCAACAGGCCACAGTAGAAGGAATAATTCTGAGATCCCAGGAACTTTTTGGTTCCTAAAGCAGAGACGGCAATGGGTCTTCCCATCTTCTGAACCCTGCCTCGCTGAGTATGGACATGAGGGTATTATTAGCCAAATAAGCAGGGGTTCCATTGCCCTAGGGAGAAGTGGGCGCTGATACCTTGTATCACTCACTATGTGTCACACTGAAACAATGATAAGCTGCTGGGCTTCATACGACACAGAGTGTATTTATGTTACTTGCATGTGACACTATGTATCATCAGTAACAGTGGCAGAGATCGTGGGAATAATAAGGAAAAGGGATGGGGGGCGGGGGAGGTTAGGGGTCCAAGTGAAATAGAAAACAGATGGATAGATGGGAGGTTAGGGGTCCAGCTATAATAAGCAACAGAGGGATGGGGAGTTGGATGGGGAGTTTAGGAATTCAGCTATAACAGAAAACAGGAATAGATAAGGAGTTTAGAGATCTAGCAATAATGGAAAACAGGGATGGATAAAGAGGTTAAGGGCACTGCTGTAATTGGAAACAAGGGGACAGATAAGGAGGTTAGGGAACTCATCCAATCCAACAGGCATTTTTTAAGTACCTACTATTTGCTGGGGGGGGGGGGGGGAGATGGTAATAAAGACAAAGACAGTGGCTGCCCTCAAAGTGGGCAAATTTATGAGAAATAGACGTGAGGAGGAGGCTAGGAGGCTGGCTACGATTTTGTGTGTGTGTGTGTGTGTGTGTGTGTGTGTGTGTGTGTGTGTTTGTGTGTGTGTATCGATTGCAGGTCTTGCTATAATTGAAAACACAAGGGAGGAAAGGGAGAAAGGAGAAGGGAGATTAAGGAACCATTTCGCACAGGAATCGGTGGGAGACAGGGACAGAGGGAGGTCAGGGGTCTTGTACTGCACCCAGGATACTTAGCGCACATTGCCTTTCTCTTTCTCTATGAGGTCCTGCAATGACCTTGTTCTCCGGGCATGTCTTTTCCCTAGGGAATACCTACGACCGATCCATTGTGGTGGATGGAGAAGAGGCTTCCCTCATGGTGTTTGACATCTGGGAACAGGTAAGACTCCAAACCAAGAGTGGGAGGCCCAGTGTTTGAGTAATAAGGTAATAAGAAGGAAATTTACTGGGACAGATGGACCTTCTTGGCTACTGGTGGAATGATGCTTATCCAGGCTGTCATAGGATGTCCCTGGGTATGATCATAATGTCCCCGAGACCTGGACTTAGGACCATAGGATTTTAGAACTGGAAGGACTTTTGAGTTCACCTAGTCCACTCTATTTCCTCATTTTATAGATGAGGAAATTGATGCCCAGAAAGAAGTATCACATAGGTAGCAGATTTGAACCCGGGACTTCTAATTTCAAGCCAAGTACTTTTTGCATTAAATCATACCAATTTATAGAATCCTGAGTTGTTTCAAATGTTTCATCTCCCCTTCTTTCTCTCCTCATGCTCCTCCTCCACCCCAACCCAGAAGCATTTGAATCTAAGAAATGGGGCAAGGCTTGTTTTCAAAGCTGAAACATTTCCGGGTTAGGATCAGGGAATAAGAGTAGTTTGCTGGTCTGAGCTAATTCCCCTTTGGGATCCCCAAGATTCTTCTCTTCCACCTTGTCCAAAATAAATTCTTAAGCAGGGCTTTCTATGGAGCATGGTGGGAGCCACTGCCCTTCTCACTTTAGGTCCCTACCCCTCCCTCCCTCCCTTTCTCATCCTACTTTCCTCAACTCACTATCTGAAACTGATGATACTGACTAGGTTTGAAAGGTGGTAAGAGAGGAGCAAAAGGACCAGGTAGCCTCACGCCACTGAACAATTCACTTACTACTGTCTTTGGGGCTCAGTTTCCTCATCTACAGAATAAAGGACATGTGACTTCTAGCTTGTATAATTTATATGGATTTATACCTTAGTGCTTTGAAACCACATAGTATTTTTATATACAGGACTTCAAGGGGCAGCTAGGTGATGCACTGGCCTGGTGGATAGAGCACTGGCCCTGGACTTAGGAGGACCTGTGTTCAAATCTGGCTTCAGATACTTGACACTAGCTGTCTGACCCTGGGCAAGTCACTTAACCCCAATTGCCTCACCAAAAAAAAGAAAGAAAGAAAGAAAGGAAGGAAGGAAGGAAGAAAGGAAGAAGGAAGAAAGAAAGAAAGAAAGAAAGAAAGAAAGAAAGAAAGAAAGAAAGAAAGAAAGAAAGAAAGAAAGA